TGCCCATGGGCCACACCAAGCCAGGTCCACCTGCACGCTGATGCTCCATCTCCAGGGATATGGTTGAAGCCTGGGGCTGGAGCTGCCCCAGCTGCCCCCTGGTCTGCCCTGTCCTGGATGCAGGGGACAGGTTCTGGCTGTTAGGTCCTGCCCTGACACCCTCACTACCCCTGGACCAGGAATTTGTCATCCCTTGTGACTCCCTGACAGATATCTTCTTGCATTATACCTCATAGTTCAACGAAGACATGCTTTTTACTGCCTACTAAATCCTAATTTTATACCTGTGGATGAGAACAGGACATATTTAGATCTAGTACTAGCAGATGTGGCAAGAGTAGACTGCATACTAGTCTGACTGGAGTGCCTGGACACAAAGCAGCTCAGGGAGGGCTGCTCAGAAATGGGGTTCCCCATGTGTGTTGAAGAAGATATTAGCCTTCAATATGGACTATAGAAACTATATAATGACCTTTCTGTAATATTGAGGCAAGAAGAAACCCATTTTCTGAAGGGGTGAAAAATTGCTAAGAGAGAAAGGGAGTTTGCTTTCTTAACCTAAATGGAAGTTTTTCCATTTGGATATTGCTTCACCAGAGCTTTGGGATTTAGCTCAAATCATCCTGAAGTTCTCCAAAATGTCAACCCTTGATAAATTCCAGGACAAAAAGGTCTCAAATAAGGCCTGTTCTCCACAGCTTCCAGTTTTTCTATGAAGCTCCTCCAACCTTTCACATGAGTATTTATGGGGAGCAAAGAAACTGGCTGGATCACTAATACTCTGATCTACTTGTATCCTGTTACTCAGCATTCTAGGAATAATAGTCCTTTTGTTTTATGCTTTGGAAAAAACATAACTTTTCCTCCTATTAAATGGATGTTTGATGGGGAGCTCAGTGAATGTGACCTGTAAGGAAACAGAATAGTGTGTTTCAGTCTTTACAGAGGAAACATCTATAACAATTTATAGCTGAAGCTGCCAAACATATTCAGAGATGTACTAGAATTACACACAGAGCCTTAAATGCTTCAGAGAAAAGAGGATTTCACCTCAGTGAAAGTTGTCTGTTTCAATGTATGTGTATATCTATCTATCTATCTAGGTATATATGCGTGAGAACAAATAGGTATTAAATCCCAAATGTTTCTTCTTTCTTCCTACTCAGTGTCAAAGAAGGTTGCCCCTAGGCATTGTACACTACTGGCAATGTACAGAGTAGTAACAGAGGACACTCAGTTTAGCTGTGCTCTGAGGGGAATTCTAGCAAAGGACATAGCCTGGTACCATTCAGAAAAAAGGATCTTCCTCTGTGGGTATTTATAATCCATTCACTGGACACAGAAAAACAAAATTACTGTTTTTACAGTTTGCAGATTCATGGCTTGCCATATTCATTTTGTCCTTCTTTTATTTGCAGGTATCTTTTGTAACCCACTGAGTTTCTTGGCTGCTGTTGAGGGCTTATTTTCGTTTTCAGAAGACAGTAGTAACAATAAAATATCCTTACAACATCTTTTTGAACTGGACTCCTGTATCCTGGCTTTAAAGAAAGGAACATGGGTGAAGCTGAATGGATTAGTGACAACTAAGTACTGCTGGAGGTGTCTCCAATTCTGTATTTGCCAAATGAAAATAATGATACTTTCTTTTCTCTGCTTCTTGTCTGTGTATTTAAACTTCATGCTTTCCAGGACAGCATTTATCTTATTAGCTGTTTGCACAGTGCTTAGTGCCTTGGCATATTATTTTTAGATAGAGCCCCTAAGCACTTTCAAACAGCTGCTAAGTTTACCTAAGGATACAAGGGTATATTGCTAACAGATAGAACCTGATTTATTCTACTTGCTGTCTGTGCAAGCCAGTTCCAAAAGAAAGCAGCATAGCTGTCCTAAGCCATTAGCATTGCACAGAATGAAAGTTCATCAAGTACAGCAACTTGCTCACATTCACATGGTTTCCAGGCTGATTTACAGTTTGGTTCATGGGCAGAGTGGAGGGTGGGAGTGTGTAAATGTGTGGTTTTATCTGCACAAAAGCCCAGCAGTTGTGTCAAAAGACAGGCTGAACATAAGTTCATACCTTTCATTTCAGCATTATTAGTTTGTAGTCTTCAAAAAAGAAACAAACCCTCCCATTAATTAAAATAGCCATCCTTCTGGCCTGAGACACAGAGCTCATATACATTGATAGCATTATATTGGCAACAATGCACTCCATATGCTCATGAAGGTTACAGGGCACGTTTCCTTGTAAACAGTCAAGACAGCAAACTTCAAATATTTGGAAGAAATGTTTATTTAACAACTGAATACATGCTAAAAGAAATAATTTACAGCAGCAGTTTCATTACATTTTTTTTCTCTCCAGTTTTCTAGTTCCCATATGAATTGAAGTGATAAATACAGAAGCAGAATTATTTACTACCCAGTGAGGAATGCGTTTAAATAAGCGCAAAACTTAGACACTGATATAGCAAATAAACCACCTTATCACCTGTGTGGCAAAATCTTGCATTTTAGTATTTTGCTGAACACACCGAAATGGAGTACCTCTAGATAACAGTACTTTACACTGTACCTCCTTATCTAGTCAAAAATATTTACATCTCTTTTGACTAATGTGTAGGTAGCAAAAACTGAACTATTAAACACATACCATTGATATTCACTAAATAATACATAAAAAGGAACAGTAAATGCGCATTCACATGCATTTAATTTAATTTTATTTTTTTTACATAGTAACTTTATTGGGTCATGAAGATTTAACTTTGTTCTGCAAAGACGCACATTTTCTCAGTTTGATGTTATAGTTTAACATAACCATACAGTTTTCAGGAGCCATTTAACAAATTCCCATTTCAGTGATCCGTGCAAGTGCAAAGTGTAGATGAGTAAGAAAAAGATTCAATGTATTTTTGTTCCTTGCAGATGTATATCTTACAGCAAAACAAAATAGATTTTTCTGGTTATAAATGAAATCCTTTATTTCTCTCCAGCTTAAACACAACATTTTACTTTATTTTTTCTAAAGTCTGTAACTAGAGGCTTAGAGGGTTTTATTGACAATTTACAGAAATACTGTTTTAATCTTTATTTTCAAACCTTATGGTGCTTTAAATAATAATAATGACACAAATGGGGATATGAATCTTAATGAAGCTGCAGGGCATCTTTCTATACATTAATTCCTCAAGGCCTATGTTTTTTGAAACAAACTTCATTTCACGTCAATATTAAACATTGCTATAACTTGACCATAATATGAACCTAAACCCCAAAAATTTCCACTGCTGGCTTGATCTTCTGACCTCTTCTTTATATAAGCAAATACAAAAGTCTTAAACAAGAATACTCATGTCTATGAGGATTGGACTGAAGTTTGTAAGATCTGATTATATCAATTGTCCAATGAGACTGCCTGATTATGATAAAAACATTGCAACTTCTGTACTTTCTTCCCACAGATTATCTTTCTCAGTATAGAAAAACATATTTTAGAATTCTGTCTTAATTTAATATGTTTCTTCTTCAGGCATTGCGAAAGAGGTTGGTTTTGGTTTGATTTTTTGCAGCAAGTTGCTATAGAACCAGTTGCTATGAGCATGGTAGAGAAAAAAGTTACATAGCAATTCCATTAATATGTAAAAAAAGAAACAAAGGTATTTAGGATCTATTGAAATCAATTTGTATTTTTCCCACTGAATTCTCTGAGGTTCATTTTAAAACTGCTTCCTTTTGTAAGGAAAAGGATTGTAGTAACTAGATGGTACAAAATAGCCCTACATAAAAGGCTAAAGAATGTTCCATGATTAAATAATTCAGTTGACAACAATGCTCAGAAATTAATCATAAACTGAGCTGAAACATTAATACTACTGTACATATAAGCACACAGCTGAACATGTGTTTTAATCCATCCCTATTCAGCACATCATGAAAGAATGAGAATTTAACAACATACTGAAGTTCAGAAGAGTCAGGTTAAACATAAGAGAGACTTAAAGTTGCTTTAAAACTAAATTCCCAATTGCTTTCTTAAATCATGGCCATACAGCCTTGTCCTGGTCTATTCAATGATTTTTTTGCTAAAGAATTAAATGACAAAAAATCTTGCCAGTTCAACCCCTGCAAAGGATTCAAAGGGGACCAAAGTAACTGGGCTTAGTGAAAATCCAATTGCTATGGAGGCGAGAAGTCAAGACTTCGCTAAGCAGAGGGATACTCGAATCAGTGAGAGGCAAGGAGACTTGGGCATATTGTGAGAGAAGCTTTCACAGCAGTTGTGTTATATTGTATCTGGTAAGCCTGATTGATAGTGTAGCAATAGATAAATTAAACAACCTGGTGTGAATAACAACAAAACAGATCAGTCATCAGTGCAGACACACTTTTATATAAAAGCTCCTTTAGCATACTAAGGATTTTGTTCTAGTAATTTTCCCCACAATGACATTATTTGAAATTATGTCATTTACAGACTCTACCAAGATAAAATATGGGAGGCTGGAGAAAGATGATCTCAAAAGAACTGGACACCATAGAACTGGGGACCAAAGGCACATCTGTGCTGAGGTGAATAAATCCACTACTTATAACCCTAAACTGACACTTATGGTGCAAGTACATTATCTGGTTTACCCTGTTGCTCTCCTGTATATAGAATAAGACAGAAGTGCTGGACCAAATTATACTAGTCTTAAGCTGAATTTCACCAATTGACTACTGCAGCAGATTTCACCCACAGATAAAACTGTCCCTCAGATCTTAAAATGGGGCTTTGAGGTTACTATTTAGTGCTGGTTCTTTGCATTTGGGTGATCTGGCCCACAGAAAGAATGGAGCACTGAGAATCAGTAGTGAGGACATATTTCTACCACAGAGCTGGGAACACAACTCCTTAAACTGAATATGAGCTTTGCTCATGGGTATATGACAGTTTATGAGCCACAGTATTTAAATATTAGCATTCACAAATATGAACCAAGAAAGCAAGAGTGTAATTAGTAGAGGATATTTTAATGCTACTTGTATTTTTTTAATTAAAAAAAAATATACAACTGAAAATCAATGCTCTCCTCTTCATTGGTTCAATCTATTAGGTATTAGACAAGTTGAATAATTTCAAATACCATACTTAGAAGAACAGAAGGCAGAATACTTCCATGCTATACAGTGACTTTCATGTTAAAATAGCTTAGTTTTAAAATTGCTTTGAAGTTACATGTCATATAGATTACTGAGAGGGGAGGAGGTTAACTGCAGTGTGACTAGCTCCCCTAGAAGTTTTTCCAAACAAAAGAGTAAAGCAGCTCATAATTGGAAGTTGTCTTTTTTTCCTCTAAACCAATATTTCTAAGACAAAAAGCCTAATCTATTTTAGAAAGGAGCTAATGTTTGCTGCATATTTTTCATGGTACATTTAAATTATAGTTTTAATAAAATACATCTTTAGATCAAAGCGGAAAGAAGTCATCAGTAGTAGGCCAGTGTACTCCACATTTTTTTTTCTTCCAGATGATGGATGGCTTATGTTGTTCAGATTTCCACAATCAATCTCATTCAGTATTGTTTTTCCTCTTCTAGCACATATAAACAGGAGAACTGGTAGACAAAACGAACAAAATCCTTGTGTCCGATCACGTGTTTAGACGTTCATCAGCTTAATGAGTTCATGCAGTTTTATATATAAGTCTAGAAATGGTGGTGCTGATGATGAAAGGTGGGGGTTGTTTTTCTTTTCTGTAAGATGACAGCATGAAATACAGCATTTTGTTTATATCTCTGGCAAAAGAGAAAGCAAAACTTGCCTGTTGAATACTTGTAGAACTTTTTGAACAGTAAGTTAGGTCCGAGTGAGTTATCATCCTTGAAACTCTGGTCTTTCTGATCTTAGAATCAGAGCAGAGAGGAAGGAATTGCTAGGAAAGTTAGAAATGGATTTTATTTAAACCTAGTGGAAATTGTTTGAACTTTCCACTCTTGTAAACATCCACATAATGCCATGAAAAAGTTCATGAATATTGCATTTTTTTCCAGTTATCTGTCTATACAAGTTTCTACTTGGATGAGGTTCCTAGAGGTAATGAAGCTCAGACACTCCGTGGTGCCCTCTCAAATTCATGGGTCCTCCTGTTCCTACCTTTTTTATTCTCCTGTAGGTGCTTCCACTTATTTGTGTTCACCTGCGCGTTGGCAGGCCTTTGCCGGCGCTGTTTGCGGTCTCTTTTCCAAACCTGCTCACAGAACTCATCCATTGTGTTGAGATTGGGGTGGTTGATTAACTGCATGAAGTCTCTGTACCAGATCTTTTGACTGGGGGTCATGCTGTTGGTAGCATCCTTGATCTTGGAGGCATCGCCATCCTCTTCTTTGTGGAGCAGCTCTTCCAGGTGGTCAGTATCAATCACTTCCAGGGTCACTTTGAGTAGAGTTTGCATGAAGCCATGCTCCACAGCATGGCAGAAATAAACACCAGAGTCTCTCCGGTGGAGACTTCGTAGCAATAGGCCCTGTTCTGTCCGGATCATGTGATCACCCACTTTTATCTGTATTGGAAAAAATTGGTAATTTCAACAGTTGTCTTTCGTATACGTGCCCCATTATCCTCTAACCATACTAGCTCCTTAGTACCGCTCCTTTCAATGGTAAAACTTGGCCAAAAATTCACGAACTCACAAAAATGGAAAACCCTCTGCCATTAATCTGTAGTTATGAAAGCCTCAAATACTCTGGAAAAACCAATGTCCTGCAAAGACTTTGGGGAATTAGGAATTTACTCCTTAGTCCTTGCTGCTGCTGAATAAAGAGCTGTCTCTGTTAGATGGATTTGCTGGTAAAATTACAGAAGACCCTAGCCTGTAATCAGCAGAGTCAGCATGGATCCATGTGGTTGTATTACTGAGGTCACATTTATCATTATCTTTTGGTCAAACCTAGATCCATTTACGGGAAAGGTTCTCTGTCTTCCTATTGTTCCTTACTACAAAAGCCCTTATGCATAGAAGTGGATTCTGCATAAGTGGGAAATTTACAAAGAAACAAATAAGAGTTAAATACGAAAATTTTAATATTCGAAAAGCAGCTTTTCAAAATAATGTATTTTTCTGAATTAATTCATGACATGTAACTACATTTTCTGAATGCACATGTGGATGCAGACAGAAAGGGAACAAACCTTTTTGCTGTTCTCTTCACTGAGAATAAATTCTTAATAATTTACTACTTATGCAAACAAAACAAAAATATTTAAAGGCGATAATGTAACTATTTAGAAAATGCTTTAAATATATGTATTTAAAAATACTTCAATGCAAAAAACAAGGTTCTGTTTCCTAGCTTGACCTCTCTACCTACCAGAGCAGATTCTTCTCTTAAGATGTGTGACCTAGTTTGATAGTGACACGACTTGAAAACCTGGACGATTAATAACATAAGAATGTTGGTGACAAGAGAAGGAGATAAATAAAGTATCAACTTAGAGTAAAGCAAATAGGGAAGGTCAGTATTTTTGCCTCTATGAATATTGTTTTTGATGAAAAAAATGTACTGTTTTTCACATTCTTGTGTCCACTACAGTTCTCAGCTCTTCATTCTGTCTCTGTCTTATGTGCAGTAAAGTCTTAGAGCATGCAGTATGTAGGATGATTCTGATAGACTATGCTTCAGTCAAATAGTATAATTAAATGAGTGTAGTTAAACTTTTTCTCAAAGGCAATTTTAAGGTTTTTGTGCTATTCAAGTTCATATAATCCTTGTATGATGTTTTAGGTGACAAGATAGCTTTTTCTATTTCTGGTATCTCTAATGCAAAACAAGTGTGTTTTGAAGGGAGTCTGAGCAAGGAGAGGATATGAATGTTTTCTGCTGTAACAATCTGTAAAACCTATTGAGCACTTACAGGATTTTATGGTAATAAGAGTGATAATATGCTGAAGAACAATGGAAATTATAAGATTGCAGAGAAATTCTGCTAAATTAAAATAATTTTGGGAAGGACTCAGATTTAAGTCTATCTTTATAGAGAAAATTATTTGCATCCCTTTATTTTTTTCTACTGTACCTCTTCTTTGCGATCGTCATTTTGCTTCTGGAATTGCCAGTAGACTACGGCACGCTGAGATTTTGGACTGCACTCAAGAAAAGTGCTGCTATTCTCTACTCCATAGATAATCTTTTCCTCCAGGGTGTGACCACTTGGGTTATCTGTACAGCATGGAAAAAAAAAAAAAAAGAAAAAAGAATTACAATTACTGAAAAAAATCCCACTTAATTGCTAAGTAATTTTTTTTTTGTTTGTTTAGAAATTGGGCTCCCTTAAAGTGTTTAAAAATAAACACTTCAAAAAAAATTTCCCCATATTAGTACGCTATTTGGGAAATTTCCATCAACACCTCTATCTTCGTAAGGATCCCTGGTAGGTTTTTAGTTTTTACTGTTTTTTTTTTTTTAATTGTATTTTAAATCCTAACAGCTGCTAACATCTCAATATGGGAAGTTAATGAATTTAATTGTGAAATTTTCTGTAAACCTCATTATTATTCATCAAGGAAAACATCTAGGACATGACAAGAATTTTTAATAGCAAACTGTATGCAATGAGAAAACTCAGGGTGTAGTTGTAGAATGTTTGTAATGATGCCTCCTGGGCTCTATGGTCATAATACTTTAGAGCAAAGTAATAAAACATGAGGCTATTTAAAAGTAGTATAATGTGTTTAGATTACATGGCACTGCAGTTTGCTGAAGCTGTTAATGACCAGAAATAATGTTTTTGAGGAAACGATCTTCAATTAATCATTTCCTCTCATACTGATATAATTTATGGAAATGTAATGAGGTTAATAAACCAGACATTATGGAAGGGGAAAAAGAAAGTTAAATAAATTACTTCCTTTTGTAACAACAATGTTTCAAGATATTCATCAACTTGCTGGAAATATCACATAGCTATAGGACTTATATGGTATTTGATTCTTCTCCAATACCACAGAGGCTGTAAGTTTCAGCTCTCCACCTTAGCTCTTTAAAATGCTGTTATGGAATTAAGTGGCCACTGTTATGGTATTAAGTGGCCAATCCTGAAGAGCAGATGAGGAGGAAGGGCTTGGTAGGCTATTTAACACTGTGTTGATCTCATGGGGTTTCCTGACTCTTTGCCATTCTCTGCCATTCTTTCCATTCTCCACTTTTGAACTTTAGCACTGGAAATCTTTAAGGAACAAGTTTTGATATGTTTTAACTGGAAAATTATGTCTATTTAAAACCCTCTAAGTGAAATCCTTTGTCCAGTTTTGTTTGCCCCCAACTGTGCCTTTATCATATTGGCCATGTTGTTTACTGAATACAGGCTGTTTACTAGATGACTGAGCCAAAGGTAAAAATAAAATTGAGCTCCTGGTTTATGTTGATACAGAATCATATGCCTTTCAATAATGACTTGCAGCCCTGAGAGGGGATGGGCAAAGGGATGTAGGGTAGAATAGGAACTGAGGCTTGCCCAGTTTTCAACAAGAAAACATCAAATAGCCTATTAACACTAAACAAATAGGAAATGGGTTTGCTTGCCTTCCTCTGCTGGATTGTGGACCTTTTAAGCAAGTAAGTGGGGTGTTCTATAAAAAACTAAGTGAAACAACTTTTATGACATCTTTCAGAAACCACATTCCCATGAAGAATGTCAGTGCAGCTCTGGGTCAGGAAGAAAGGGAGCAATGGAAGAAAGAATTAGAAAGCAAAGCGGCAAGAGAAAGGTGAGATAGCTGGAAGAGAATGTAGCCAAGGGTACTGGTGATAAGGTCTGAGATGGAGCATGGGTGAATTGGTGTCAATGAAGCAAGGGAAGTGGAAGATAAAGATTGGAATTGGGACTGACTGGCTGATAATTTATGGGTCCAGATTCGACATTGTGAATGATGTACTGACTCTTCTTGTTCAATTCCTCTAATTAAGGAACAGAATTCACATGGCTGAGCAGGCAGCCAAGGATCCTCACACAGAGATAAGTTGTTTGATATCTGAATTGGAATCCACAACAGATAGCATATATAGGGCTGCAGCATAAAACAGTAAGCAGGAAATGTCCTCTTTCATAGCCTGGGACACTTCTGTTACTGCTCCAGCAAACTGTTTCTGTGAAACAGTGATTTACAGGCTTCCAGAATAAAGGATGGAAACATGGGGATTTCACCCTAGGATGCCTGCTCTGTTTTTACTCCTCTCCTAGGCTCCATGAATTGTGGTTGCAGAATGGCCCAACTTCAACAACAGGAATCCAATATTTTGGCTGTCTGTATTGGAAGTACAGCTATCAAGTCAATTCCCTAAGCTTAAATGGACTTTAGGTCCTCATCTTCCACATCCCAAATAGTGGACTTAACTAGCAGGTTACTCAGCACCACTGACTATATTTTCCTGAACACAGCTGAGTTCAAGTGAATTACATAGGAGTAGAACATATATAACACTGGTCCCATTAGATCTGAGGAAGATAATCTTCTAGACTCTAAATGTTAGTAGAAAAGACAAAAACAGGTATTTTTTTCACAAAAGTCCCACTGCCCAAGAAGAGTGGCATATTTTTAAGTATACAGAGAAGTTTCTGCTGGAAAACAATACCTAGGATATCCTTAGTATCTAAGGAGCTAGTCACAAGTTTTTGTTTGAAACTGGGTGCTCTGACACCATTTCAAACTTCTGTTTTCTTGGATCTGATCTATGACATTCTAGTGTGTTAGAAAACACCATGGAAAGTGAGTGAAGCCCTCTTTAAATTTCTTCACAGCTGCAGAAAATAAAGTATGGGTGACAGATGAGAGAGGAAGCATTTAGGAGATCCTTGAGTTTCCATTGCCATGATTTAGGGGAGCAGAAGGCAGGTCCAGAAATGTCTATAAAGTCCATGAACCATTTAGCACATGGAGTGCAAGAAAGTAAGCAGTGATCAAATAATCACAGGATCGGAGTGCAGCTTTGGGACTGAGGGAGAAGCTGAAGAGACTAGAAGAAAGAATGAAAGTCTAGGAAGTCCAGAAAAGCAGGTGGAGGAATTAGAAAAGTATAGAAATTGTGGAGTTGGTTATGAAATTCAGCCCAAAATCCTGTCTGAGAGCAGTAATTTCCAAAATGAACCCAACAGCAGTATCAGTTTACTACCCTGATAAATATCCTTGAAGTACATAATTTCTGACATAACCAAAGAAGTATGAAAGGCCAAGTAGCTATAGCAAGACAGCTTTGCAGATGAATCAATCTTACTATATAGTTTAACTCAAGAGTGATTCTTTGAACTTGCTCTGGGATAAATCAGCTCAAAAAGGTATCTCTTCTATTACAAATTCTTTAAAAAAAAAAAGAAAAAAGAAAAAAAAAGATTGATTAACTTCTTGATAGAACGTGTGTGTTATGCTTAAAAAAGATTGTTCTTTAGCTGACACAAAGGTGTCCATGCTTTTAGATTTAAGCATTAATGTCTGGCCAAACATCTGTACAGCTAAGGATCCTCAGCTCCCTCTAATGTTGTTGTGTAGTCATTTTATACTAGTCCTTATACATTTGCACTGAAGGGCAATGGAAAGAGCCATGTAAACCTTATTAAAAACATTAGTGCTTCAGATTGATCACAAAGTTGGTTTCTGCAATATCTTTAAAAGTGAGATTTTTCTTTTTTTATGTTTTTATTGGAGAATCAACTGGCAGTTACTGCAAGTGAATGTGCAGACAAGTAGTAAAATATTGCTGGAGCTTATTTGTGGCTATAGGCAAACCCAATTCGTCATCTGTTGTCCAGAAAAGTACTAGTCACAACCAAGGAAAAAACTCAGCATAAGTTGGCTTAGGAAACTGGCATAGGCCATGCAGTCATCTGTAATCACATACTGTGCGATCATGTGTAAATGACATGTAAATATTGGAAAATGTAATAGATTTACAGCTCAATTAATTTAGAGAAAATTTATCTCAAGACCAGTCTAAACCATTCATCAAGCATTTTGACAGTGCATCCTTCAAGTTTAAGATCCAGAACTACATTCCCTCAGTATTCTTTGTAACTTACTGATACTTGCTCTTCTCATTTTGACAAAGCTGTATCAAAGCTCCTTGTGATCAGGGGTGCCATGATTGTTGCAATGAAAAAAAATGCATTTCTGGATTACTGCAAAACTGTATTACTCTCTTCCCTTTGGACAGAACATATCTTTATCAGATAAATATGCTTCCAAATATGGGAAGATATAAAAAAACCCAAAGTGTTTTGAAATGCTTTTTTCACCTATGAAAATAAAGAACAAACCTGCAGTTGTATAAAGCACAGCAGGCAATGGCTAGAAAACATTAAAATTAAAGACATGTGGTAGGCCAGGTCATATTTTTACTCATGAGTAACATGTAATGAGTAAAAAGGTAAAGCTAAGACACACTTCTGTTGGTATTAAAATCAACATTTAGTGCCTGATGAAATTTTTCTATTGGGAAACGTCATCTCAGCCTCAGTATCTGCACTGTATATGCATTACTTGATATGATGCAACACAAAATTTTTGAACTTTCTACTAGTGCCAATTGACTAGTTCAAATCTAAACCAGTTCTCATGAGTTCTCAAAATGTGACAACTACAGACTGATCACAATCTATTCATGCATTTTTACAAATCCTTTTGCCTTCTGAGTAACTTGGCCTGAGTCTGACAACCAAGAAGTAAAAAGAAAAGCTATAGTAATGTTAGCTGTGAGTTTCAAATGATTGAAAGGAACACAGAGAAAACTATTCGTGAAATGTATTAGTGGTGACTAATATTATAGCTGACATTTATAATATTATTATAAAGCTGACAATTATAATATTATTATAGCTGACACAGAAGTACAACTTTGGACTATTTGTCATTTTTGTTATTACATGGACTGGAAGGACATGAGGATTTTGAGGTATCTCCATTTTCAGTCACCTCCTTATCCCAGAGATCTGTCCAGAGGTTTAACCCTTGGATTAATTCGGTTACAGCACAGTGTTAATAACACCAAAGTTGTGCATTTGACCCCCATATGGGCCATTCACTTATGAGCTGGACTCGATGATCCTTGTGGGTCCCTTTCAACTCAGAATATCCTGTGTGCATATAGACCTACTGCAATCATAAAGATTCACTTTTTTCCAGCAGAGGGAAGTATTGCCTAAGTGTTCCCTCCACTTACAGCAAAAGGGACATTTTTAATCTTCTGAGTCAAGGTCTTCTGAAAAGTTTGGCAACAAATTAGTAACTGTGTGAAGTTTATCAGTCAAACTTAAGTCCAGAATGGAATCTGATCAATACACTGTGAAAATGAAACAGCTGACAAGAAACCAAATCAAAATATGTCCAAGAAAACCCATGCTGAAAGCATATGGGACAGGCCTACTGCAAGGAACATCCTGATCTTAACAGCTTTTAGCATGACACCTACAACAAAGGTCATTCCACATTTTGCCAAGGTAGTTACAAACACGTTTGCTTATTATCTTATGCAAACTATATAAAACAATATGTACATATTTCTTGCCATCCTGAAGGAGATACAAGTCTTTTCTGATATAATACTCCTAACCTGATGGTATAGTACCAAGTAAAAGAAGCAGGAAAATTAAAATGTTTAAAACTGTTAACTTGAGGAAAACAACAACAAAAAACGCCAAATATTCTTTAGTGTCTGATCCAGGCCATTGTAAGCTATCTAAATTGGGATAATGACGTATTATATTCATCTTTCACAGATGTTCGAGACTATTTCACCAACAAATCATTGACATGCTTCCTACTCTACTCATGCACAGTCTGTAAATTACATACAAATTAGTTGCACTTCAGTTGTGCCCATAACTCACCGTGATGCTGCAGGTCTGAGCAGTGGGTAAGCGGGTCTCCATTTCGGATGTCTTGTCGTCTAGTACGCCTGCAAATATCACATTTGAAATCTGTTAGTGACCTTCTCAAGTGGTCAGCACACACATTCACCGTGACTGAAGAGCAATGAGTGGAACATATATAATTACAGAAGTCACAAGGGCATCTAAACTACACTAGGAAGGAAACCATATTGTTACTACTATATTCTGTGCATTGTCACAGTTTGTAGAATGAGGCTTTACTCTTACAGATAAAGTCTTCAGAAACTGGTAAATACATATCTCTTGCACTGAGAAACTAAATAAAAATAATATTCAATACTAATTATTAATATTAAAGATATACTACATAAAATATGATGTTTATTTTCACTGTGTGGGCAATATTGATTACAGACAAATTCATTACCTGATTCATAGATACAGGATTGCTGAGGGATTAAAATATATATAGTACAGTTTAAAATGCATCAAAACCCATGAAGAAGCTACAGCTGTTCTGCAAGTACACAATACTTTGAATATTGTGGCACCTTTTAGATAGATGAAATGTTAGAATGGGTGGCTTTCAAAGAATACTGAAGTGCTGTATTTTCTACAAAACCTAAATTAAACTACATAGATCATTTCAGCCACTACAGATTTCACCAAAACATTTCTGAAAAAACCTTTTACATAACTGTTGCAAATGGCTTCGTCTTTAGAATAAACAGAATAAAACACTTGAAAAGGAAGATTTTGAAATGCTGTTTATTCCACTTTTTGTAGCTTGAGTCTGAGTTCTACCTTTGATTGCATGTCCTTTTAACATAGTATATTTTTTTCCCAGTTTGAATTCTATTGGCTCTTTTGAAAAACATATTGATCTGTGCTAAAAAAATGTATTTCAGAAAAGAGAGCTTTTCTATACAGTTTTATTTTGCATGTGTTGTTCTCTCTTTGTCTGTTCCTATTTTTATTTAAATAGCTGTGACACGAAATTCAACTGAGCCAGAGAAAAGCTTTCACATAAAAAGAAAGAAAAAAAGAACAAGGCAAACAAAGATGTGTTTCAAGTGAGAGCACTTTACTTTAGGAATCGGAGAAAGCCTGAGGGCTTGCAAAATTAGAGGAGAACAAAGAGGATTAGGCTGCTGAACAATGCTGCGATTTCAGATTATGGGATCCAGCAACGGATATGCAAAAGTCAAGTAGCCTTGTAAAAAACCCTGTTGGTCACTCCCTTGTGACAACAGCCCACATTTTTAAAAGCCATTGTTCTGCGGTACAGACCATCTCTCTTCTCTCCACCAGCCCTATTTGCAGGCTCTCACTAATAGCCCAGCATCAGCACATGCCAAGAGTTCTCTCTGAGGCACAACTGCTCAGCTGACTCCTATTGCCTGAAAGATTTTAACCATATCTTTTTCTACTGAAAACTACTGGAATGTTAAACCTGAAATTAGTTACATGAAGTACAGCAACAGTTGGTTTTTTTTTTTTTGCTCATCTGAATTTTTTTTAAATTGAGATTACCAATATTTTATATTTTTCTGAATAAAAACTTCTTTAAACTCATGATGTGTTTATCTTAGCACTCCTTAGTAATAAGGAATCTTCTGCTGATTGATACATGATTCAAAAAATGTACTAATCATAATTTCCAATATCTCTGTATTACTCATTACCACTGACAAAACCACACCCAAGACTTAAGGAATCATAAAATTTTGCTACTCCTTCCTAAATTTGGAAACATGTCATAGGATACTATTTGTAGGAAAAAAAGTCTGTGGAAAGATTCATATTACTGTTAATGAAGTTTGGATGAGATGTTTAGTCAGAATCTTAGGAAAATGTCGCACATATCACAATTGTATCAACATGATAATTTATGAAATATGAACCAGAACACATCTGCATGGGGTAAAGTGAAGTGGTCACACAACAGGAGCTCTGGACTGTCATTTATACTTGTAAAATACACAAAGAAAGAGAAGCAAATTAAAATCAAGGCTTATAAAAGCTTGTAAAAATAGAATAAAAATCAAATCAAAACAAAACAAAAACCCCAAACAAAACCCCAAAAGCAACTACTAGTAAAGCATCTGTACAAGTGCCTCAGGACTCAGTTTTCCCAATATTTCTGGAGCCTAAAATCACAAGAATTTATTATTAGGAAAATGTTGACATTTAAGCTGTTCCCTGAAATTCTGATTTTATCATAGATGCATTCCAAGCTGGCTTGAGACAGTGGGTACAGCAGGCACCAGGTAAACCGAGCATCCTCTCCCCCAGTAACACAGACCTTGACTCTGCCGCTGTTGCTGCCAAGGGAAAATTGGGGGGAAGTGGCGGAGACAGCAGCTTTTTCTGAATGCATTTTTCGGATACAAGCTCCCCAGGACTAACTTTTTCTTTCACAGTGGCCTTAAGAAGAGCAAATTCTGCACCCCAAGGTTTTTCTATGGCTGTGCAACCCAGTTTAGCCCCAGTAACTCTACCCCGCAATTCCTGTGAGAAGAGGTCCCAGTCCCTTTACCCATGATGGCAACAGTGAGCTCAGTCTGCAGTGCATTAGGAGATAGATAAGGAAAAGACAAAGAGCCCTATTTCTTCCATCAGTGTAAGCAGATGAATGACAGTTTATGTGCTCTGTGGATCTTGAGATGGGCTGGGAGTAGGAATGGGTGCTAGTGAATGTTGAGAAACGATGAGATTCAGGGATAAAGAAGCATAGGAGAGTAGCAGAAAAGAGTAAATCACTGATTCCTGACCTTACTGCCTCCTTCAACTCAGAGGCAGTACTCAAACATACTGGTTTCTAATCCTAAAAACCTTCAGATCAAATCAAATTCTTAGACTCTCTTTGAAAACCTCACTGTTCCCTCTCCCTTCAATCCTCCTCCAGAGAAGCTGCCGTGATACCACGAGAAATAAGAATTTAGTCCACACAGCTGAGAAAATTTGACTGGGTCTTCTTTTGGGATGGGTTCCGTTTCTCCTTTTCAATTATTTTCACAGAATTTCACAAGAAGTTTGTCTCAGATCAACTCTGTTTCCTGGTGCAAAAAATAAAACCTGATGTTCCACGAGAAGCTTTTATTTTTGTAATCTTTTCTTTTTTTAGGATGCATTGTAATGTAAACCTTGAAATTTTAATCCCCTGTATCTGAAAAGTCTGTGATACAAACTCAACTTCCCACCCTTTACCACATTTCATCTGCATCAACAAACGATCTAAACCTGGAATTTGGAGTCCTGACATTCTCAGCTTAGTATTGCTACCATTAATTTTATCTACATAAACCCTTACCTATCTAAACCTTTAGATTCCTTGTTTCTTCCTAAATAGATGATGTCTGGCATATTCAATTTAGTGTGAGTACTTTTTAAATCATTTTGGCCAATTTATCATGGGAATCTCAACACTACACCAAAGTCTGCTTCTATTTTCAAGTGATTACTATTCAGTTATACCTAATTTCTACTTCAGTAGCCGAGCTCTTCAGTAACAAGCTTGTACACTTTTAGAGAAAGAGTTTCAGAGATAAAGGCAGGCAAAGAAAATATTATTTTAAACCTTCATATCAGGCAACTAGACTTGTGACTTTTTTATAAAATCGGTATTTTTGACTTGTGGAATCGGTTTTCCCTTAATGTTTGCATTGCAAAGCCTTCAGTGTCACTACAGACTGAGTGTAAAAGTGGTTGTGCTGGTCTGGTAGCACTTGGACACACATCAACACATGCAAGCTACACTTTTGAATAATAACAACGTTATCACGGAAAAAGTTTCTACTGATGTCCAAACAGTTTATAGATATTTCTTTTGAATTAGAATTCATGAAAATACAGAATAATTTACTTGGGTAAGTAGAGATTCTATTTTGATTTCAAGCCCCCTTCTAAAGATAGAGAAAAGGATTTCTTTTTCTTTTTTCTGTTTATAAATGGATATGAAGTTATGAATCCATTTCAAAGAGAACTCTTCTACGAATGTTTCCTTACAGGAGCTTTTTAAGCCAGCCCAAGAAGTAGCAGTGGTCACTTTAAATCGACCAAGACTTCATATTGCATGTAACTCTCACAACAATGTTTTCTTTGGAGGAGAAAGGGCTCCAGTTAACCATCTCAGGAAAAATCTCCAAAGCCCTCTGGTCATATTGAGACCATCAGTTCAAACAAACAGCAACCCATCCAAAACTGTCCTTACCTCTTAGCAGTGGGGAAGTAACGTGAACAAGATGAACCATCCCAGGCACAGTAAGGGTCTCTTGCAAGGCAACACTCAGCACATGCTTTTCCATACACATCACAGCGGTGCAAAGGAAGCTGTGAAACTCCAGTGGCTGAGCCAATGTAGAGTTGTTGCTGTTATAAAAATTAAAAAAAAAAAAAAAGAAAAAAAAGTTAAAAAAATATTGCAAAATACAATTTTTTTTTTCTAGGAAGGCATAACAAAGTTATATAATCAGATGCTAGGGCCATTACAAACACAATAAAGGATCGTGATCCTGATGTACACTAGAGGAATGAGAACAGAATTGTCCCCAGGGTAAAAAAAAATCAAATAGGAAAAACTTTATTTTTGCATGAAGCTCTCAGTCACTTCTTTAAACAGTAAAAAAATTAAAGTACTCTTCAATTTTTTCTTTTTCATTCAGATCCCCGCACTGGGAAAGCACCACAGTCAGTGAGAGAACACAATGGAGAATATACTTTTGAATATAAACAAAAAGTAAAACTTCAACACAAATTTCCTAAGTATGACCTTGATTTATGTACGTGAGGGGGAAACCTGAAGTAAATTACTTCAGACTGATGCTAAGATATTCCAGTTTGGAAGTGCTGCCATGCATGCATGTCTTTGCATGTCTGATAATTCTGGTGTTTTGTACTCTTTTCTGTAGGTCACATACTCTAACTAAAACCTATCTTTAATGAGGGGAGAGGCTTTATTTTATTTTGGATAAAAACTAGTGTTGAGTAGAAGATGAAGTTTAAAGGTAGGAGTAAATAAAAAACCATGCATGCAAAATTAATTACAGCCTCACATGGCATCACAATAGAATATCTTGTCTCTCTCAGTTTCCTCTCTGATATCAAATTCATGTGGTCCACTAGGAAAGTTGGTCCCCAGAGGGATACGAGAAAACTGAACTTCTGATCCCATGTGAAAGTCCAAACAGAGATACTTCAGATTAGCACTAATTCACAAAGAAAATAAGTATGGGTGAGATGCAAAACTAGGGAAAAGAAAATATATAAACAAAATTCAATGGTACAATCCTTCTGTTTTGGAAACACTGACATTTGTCTATCCAAAGGTTAAACTCTGTCACCCAGCACCCATGCTGGAGTAATGAATACCTTTCTTTTGAAGGTCCCACTGCAAGCAGTCCCACCGAGAAAATACAAATTTGTATTCATTTTCCTTTCTTGGAAAATATAAATTGAAAAACAGGATTTCAAGAAATGTTTTCAAAATTCTTCATCTCCTGCATTGTGATGTCCCAGAGGCACCATTTCCAGGGAATTCAGGGATGGAAGACAGCTGAGGTCACCTACCTACTAGAAATTATGAGCACTGGATACCAGGAGACAGCAACACCAAAAACACTCATAAAAGGTGTTGCATTAACTTCTTTCAGAGACAGCAGCTTGGCAGTTTATACAGACATATTAATTGTAACAGAAACATCCCGTGCATTTATATAAACACTTGTATTTTCTCAAGGAAAATATGACAAGGAAATCACCCACAGGAAAATTTACTGGTAAATTGAAAACTAAACCCTTTCTAAGCAGCTGTTTCCATCTATTATAGTTTCATAGCTGGGCTGTAAACCCACATTCTCCAGGCAAAAATCTCTGACCACAGAGAGCTCTACACAAAGCCTTAACTGCACATACCAGTCCCAGTGAGTGTTGTAGCCTTGAGAAGAGAGAACAGGCAACAGACATGATAAGCTGATTCTCTCTAACTTAAGTCACTTAATCAAGTATCCACCTAGGGCTATGTCCTGCAGTAAAAAGAGCAGCAATTCAAATCTTAGGTGACCTAACTGCTTCTCAAGGGATGTCTCTTCTCTTTACTGATTAGGGAGGCAGCATAGGTCAAATTAGAGCTTCAGTTAAGTATCTTAAATGTCCAGATGGTATTGATCTGAGTCCTGTGTAATTGGGGCATTAATATCTGTATAAGCGTATACGAATGTGTGGTGCAACTAATATAAAAATCAACCCAGAGAATGCACAGGGGAAAATAAAGAATGGTGTAATGGTTTCTCATGGACCTCTGTAACCAATTTCATTTGGTAAAAAAACCCTCCATGATTTCTAATAAATGTCTTTAGAATTAAAGAATGAGCAGAAACATGTAAAAAAAAAAAAACAACCACAAAAAAACAACGGAGGCCAAAATAGGGTTACCTAAAGACTCTATTCCTTTCAGATAAGTTCAGCCAGTGAACTTCAGGATGTGTTTCAGGTGCTGCACAGCCTGAAGCTGCTGCCCTGTTTGCTGCTCTTCTGATCCTGGTTTTAGACTCCAGCTGGTGATAATTATTCTGGACACCAACAATATATAAATCCAGGTAGTAAGAAAATCAGAAAATAGTAACAGAACTATCTGCATCAATGGTCTGACCTTACTTTGCCATACACAGTCAAACTGCCTTTTGTCAGAGTCTCTCCCAAGACATTAATTTAATCAATGAGCTGATTATCAGATCAAACCAGAGAGGGGTAAAAAAAAAAGGCTGTCCTCTAAAAGTTCTTGCAGAAGTATTAGAACACAAGAAAAACTGAAGACATTAATTTTCTAAGCAATCCAGTGTTTTATGTTTGCCCCATGGTGCTGCCCAAAAAAGCAGTCTTTCCCAAGTCAGACAGAGATAACAGAACTCTCCATTTGGAATCAAAAAAAAAAAAAAAAAAGAAAGCGATATTAAAAAAATGTAATGCTTAAAAGAAGAACTTAAGCAGAATTTTAAAAGGAACTTTAGGGAGCACGAGGCTCAAATCCCATTTAACTAAATTTTATGCCTTGGAAAGCGATTGCAGAATAGTTCAGGAGACTGTTTAAGTGATATATCTATTTTGAGCCAGTCCTTTCTGTCAGTGTTTCCCAATACGGACAGAAATGGTGATATTTGAAAAAAAATCAGTATTTTGTGAAATATATTATAAAAAATAGTCACTAAGGTATTTCTCAAGGTCTCTGCCTTCACTTTTCTTGAAAATCTTATAGAGGAAAACCAAAAGCTCTTCAAAGCAGTTCGTCAGACAAGGACTTGGCCTTTATCAGCTCAGGATCTTCTTGTCCTTTTCCCATTTCACCAGAAATCCAATTGCTTTTTGAAACAAGAGCATCACAAACCTGAACCTGAGAAAGAGATGAGAGCTTGCTCCACAAAACTTCACCTTTGATTGAAAGCCAGGTCTGACTTTTTGGCCTGGTCCCACATTTCTAAATCAAGGAAAAAATTACGGAGCTCCACTTGACAGGCTCAGGGCAAGGGTGTCCCACAGAACTGGGACCTCAGGCAGCTGCAGCGTGTTGCAGTAGCTTAAGGATGCCATCCTCTGATGGTTTGTGTCTATTACTAACCATGCATACACTGTTTAAGTGATAGGGCTACACAAACCTAGGGCTCTAAACACAATTAGGAGAAATATGTAGCTTCAGTGAGAAAATACAGATGCAATTCCTGTGAGTTAATGACAGCAGAGTGGCAAAAGACTAGCAAGGCTTAGTCTTGCACATAAAGGCTAAATTCCCTTGCTCAAAGACTCACTTGCTCGAGGGTCAAATCTATACTCAGAGAGAGAGACATGGGAGCCTTATAGCTTCACACAATTTAAAACTTAAGTTAAGTTCTGCTCCTGAAGAATTTTTGTGGATTTTGGTCTTTAGAAGAGTAATTTGTAACATGACAGATTGGCATGATGGGAAAAGAGGTAGCTTTGAACAGAGTAGTAAAAACATTAAGAAATAAGGAGAAGCTTCCAGTACCATGTTTTTAATTGGATGAAAGATTTGTTAGTGAAAAACCAAAATGAAGTGATTGCTTTTAAGGCATTCAATAGAACATGCTGGTTTTAGTGTTTACATTTCATGCTCCTGCTTTCTACAATGCATAGAATTATCGTGCTGTTTATACAAAAACTGCCCTGCTTATCAGAACACAATGAGTAAAGTGTTTGAGATTTAGAGCTAAAGGATTTTTAAATCATAAATGTAAAATGGAAACATGTTGCCGTATACTTATTTCATACATACTGCCAAAAGTTTGTCACCCTGTATCATGATTCTGTCATTTTTAGCCTGAGGCTGGTTGATTTTTCATGAGTTTTACTCTGCCTGAATAACTTGTGTTGTATGCTCTTTTTTAGCTTTAAACAATTTTAGCAGTGTAAATTTGTTTTCAGAAGACTCAAGGAAAATTGTAATCTCTCCTGAATAACTAAAGATGCTTTGAAGAAGAAGCTCTATGAAAATGCACGGTCAATTTTCACATATGATTGGCTGCTTTAAGGGAATGTACTTATAAAAATAATCCAAAGTAGAGCGTTTTGCTATGATGTGAGCATATATACAACTTGACAGGTCTGTTTTTAAATATTCCAGTATGCAATAGTACCTTTTTTTTGGTCTTGCCATTTTTGTTGGTTTAGGTGGTAAAGTATCCTAGAAGAGCGTTCTCACCCCAAATTTTTTATCAAACACATGACTGCTTTCAGACAACTTTCCTAAATACAGTGAATTCAGAGTTAAGTATGCATAATTTGAAACGTAATACTAGGCTCTGTCCATTACAGAATGAATTTAATTTCTGTTTACTAATATACAGAGTGAGGTAGATGAATTAACTAAATCTAATTTATGACATGCACAATTTTCCGTGCACCTAGTCCTGAAGTAATACCAATTCTCCTCTTTACTGACAATGGCATTAACAGAAAAGTTAATGAGTGCGAACAAGGTACTTATATTCACTAAATCAGGCTTCAAATCAGCACAAATGTGAAAAAGAAGAAAAAAAAATGTTAAATTTGACACTAAGTTTTATGCTCAGAGTCCTGAAGCAGGAAATGACAGTGGCTTGGTTCCATCCACTGAATTCCAGGCAAAACTGAAGATAGGCCTTTAATACCCACTTCATTCCTGGACTGCAACTCAGTGTTCTTTGCATGACTATATAATTCATCAACTGCTTCACAAAGAAGCCTAATAATAATTCCCTGTATTTGCTTAGAAATTCAGGAATCACTTTTACTGTAAGTCAGACAAAACTTCACCTCTATCCATCAAGAGGTTCAGTTCATTTTAGTTATGATCTGGCCTTATAATACATATCTTTTCTGTAAGCAGTTAGCTATTAGTGTACTCAATAGAAAGTAGGAAATATAAATTCTGGAGTCTTGAACCCATATCCTAACCACATCACTGAACCAGAAGGGCATGGAAAATTTGGACTGAAACAGATCTAAATTCTTTCTGAAAGCTGAATGACACACATCCAGGAATGGAAGGGGCATAGGAGAAAAAAGACAGGAGGATGTCTCATTTCCATCCTTTGCTTCTGCCATCTGCATTTGGTACTGTACTATTCCTATAGAAACTAGAACTAGTCCCATTAAAGCAAGGGACCAAGTTTGTCCGCTCCTTTTCAACAGTTTCTCTGTCATGAAAACTTTCTATAACATGGAATTTATTTGGCTTTTTTTCTAGATAGCCACCAGACACCTGGTTAGTTTGTGTTTAGTTTCCACCTTACCAGTAACACAAACTAGACTTTTCCTTTCTCTGTTGCATGTCACATTTTCCTGAGAAACTACTGATGTTTATGTAAAGGGATGGGATGCTGCTGCCGCAATTAATATGTCTCTGCTGACTGCCAAGTTACTGTCTCTAAAAGACAGAGACCAATAAATATTTGAAAGTGATTTAACGTTTGTGCACATAGTACCTGCTTTGTGGAAATCTTCATTGCTGAAATAACAGTGGGTTCCTAGGGAAAAATAGAGTTAAAATATAAAATGAGCTGTAAGCATAAAAATTCTATTACAATGCTATTTTCACAACCTAGAAACCCTGAAATTAAACTATGAACTCTTTAGTAATAAAACTCTTGTTGTCTTTTGCAGTGGAATAATTTCTAGCTGTAAATGAATTAGAATGCATGTACATATCTGCATGCATCTTTGATTGCTGTACTGATTGTAGACATGTAATTTTCCATTATTATTACAGTTTCATTGTGATTATTTTGTCACTAGTTTCACATCTTGAAATTACTTTCTACACTTAATATTAAAATTCCATTGAAAGAACCTCCCAGGAAATATGAAAATAATAATGGCTATATTCATAGATACTATATATTAAGGGTGATAACACTGAAATAAGCAACGTCTTTTAACCATACCAAGGTGAAAACCCGATTCCTGTGAAATTTTATTCATAATATCAAGTCTTAATCCCAAGAGTAATCTTGTTGACTGCACCACACTATTCTCTTACAAAGAAGTTACTCACATTTGCAGAACTGAAATGAGCACGAGGCTTTTTACTCCCTAGAATATCCATTATTTAATCAACTGTTACACCTTTTAGGCCCAGTTTCTTGGATGGATTTTAATCTTGAGAGTAAAACTTCATAATTTGGTTACAAAGTGTGCAAGTCAATTTTGCATGAACTTTATTCCATCTAAATATTTGATATTGATCCCACGCATTATACTTTTGGTTATGTACATTAATAAAGTCCTTATTAAGCTTTTACACTTCTGTGGCTTTCAACTTGGTTTTCCTGAGAGAATTTGATATGGGTCAGTGGATGGTAAGCATGTGGACTTGCCACTGCAGGGGGTTTAACAGATCTTATATTAGAAAGCATCGATTAAGCCTAACTTTTGAATGGAAATTGAACTCATTAGTTTGTTTGCTCAGCTGTTCAGATAAATATTGCACAAATGGGGTTAAAAGAGGCATTTGTTATCAATGTAATAGACATGAAAGGTTTTCAGCTTTGTGGAATTATAAATGGAAAGCATTGTACTCAGAACATTGCGGTTTAAGCACCAAAATACATTGTTCATGATGTACATGGACTCTTTAGCAACTAAAGAAAACTTACATTTGGATAAGGTACATGAAAAATCTTTTGCAAATTCCCTATTGAAAGATTCATATCTCATGCACACAAATTCTCCTTATTCCACTGAAATACATTAATGCCCTTTTTAAGGCTTAAAAACACGCCAAAGGAGATAAAAAAGCTTTCAAGTAAATCAGAGCACCAAAATCCTTTTGTGTAATGAAAAAATACACACATAAAGTAAAATACTAAATTTGAACTTGGCACTAACTATTCTGCTTCTGTAAAACCTTTCCGAAATAAAACTCACTCCATTTATTTTCCTTGTTTCCCTTTTTATTCTGTCTGATCTCCTTTAGCTTGGCACTTCTACTTGATTTAGAGAAGAGACTCATACATTATCAGCAATTGCCAAATTACTCTGCATTAATGTAATGACTTTTGGATGTATAAAAAAAAGGAAAAAAAGAAAAAGAAAGCCAGGATTCACAAATTACTTCTCCAATGTTACTCATAGTTTACTTATAGTTTCTACTGTCTGCCCTCAAAAAAAATGACCACAGAAACAGAGACACACATATTTCAGTTATATCTGGCACTCAAAACAAGATTGGGACCAGTAAAAGCAAGATTTCCCATAAGGAAAACTAAACATAATATTGGAAATAATAATAAAAATATTTATAAGCTCTGTTTACATAGGTTGTCTCTGTTCAGAAACCAAAGATGAAGGGATGGCAACTGAGTTTGATGAGGACATGGTGGCTGGGCCCCTCTGGCGGGTCCAGGACACAGTCCTTGTCAGCACATCTGGATCGAAACCACACGACATGAGGCCCTCCGAGCACGCAAACATCATCTTCGTGCCGTCAGATTAACCTCGTGCTCCCAGCTAGGTATCAACCCCCCAAAAGCCTGGAGCCAGTGAAATCGTACCATAAAAAGGCACTGACAAGAAGAATAACCTGGGGAACGTAAATGATTCGTTGTTGTGTACAAAACACGAGACCTTCCTGCGTTCTGTCTGGAAACTGTTTGAAAGGTTTGCTCAGCTTCGCCTCGCAGGAGTGCCTATGGGATGCCGTAATTTTTGGGTGGCTCAAAAGGAAAAATAGAAGAGATTGATTTTCACCAAAAAGTGCTGAAGTTTAGGAGGTGTTTACGGTGCCTTGTGTCAAACCATGAAATTGAGTCCCTAAGTCACCTTTGAAAATATAAACACTTTCTTTGTTCCTTAGCTGTAAAAAATCTGGGCACGTCACTGGTTTACCCAAAGTATCTTCCTAGTTACAATATGCTGATAGTCTGAATAGTGTTAAGAGTTGATACAACTATAAATTCATATATTGCATAACTCTGGGAGACAACAGACAGGCATTATTCCTAGACTTGCACAGGTAGATATTTAACTCCGGCATGCAACAGCTCTAAGATTTAGAAATAATAATTTATTTTTTAAACCACCAAAAAAGAGTCGACAATACCATTCCTTTTATCGTTAACCTCCAGCTAGCACTGAAAGTTTCAAGTTTATTTTGACTAGTGTCTGGGTCTCTAAATAACAAGCTAATTAGAGGTGTATGCCAGGCTATTCCTTGGCTAGAGTGCAAGAAGTTGAGTTTGCAGCTGTCCACAGAGAAATCTACAACCTGACACTTGAAATTTAGCCTCACTTACCCGAAAGACTGTCATTTCTTCCAGCAAGACTTCCTCTAATTCATGCCAAGTCTCCTTAGGAATTGAAACCACTTTAAGAACTGTTCCAATATCTTGAAAAGAAAACAAAAAGGAGTTTTCAGGTGCTTAAGATGAATACTTAAGTTTTGTAGCAGCCAGCGTTTCTTGTAGTATATAATTATTTCGCATATAAAGACTGTGAAGCTACATATCTCTCAGTACTCATTCAAATTAAAAGCTGCTATTTAAAATAACCTCAGAAAACACTGAATTTCAGTAGGGAATTTTACTGAAGTCTTTCAGTTATCAAAATGCAACAAAGAAGATATATACTACTATAGTTGTTAAAGAATAAACTGCAATGAAATACTATCTAAGTGACAGTATAAAATGACAGATGCATAATTGAGGAAGGAAATGTATTACATTTACCCAGGTATGTTTTATAGTCCATTTTGAATATGATGTTTGTCTTTCCTAAAATGCATGTAAAGACAGTATGGACATAAAACCATCTGGACAAATGTTGTCAGACAGATGAATCTGTTGGGTCTCTCAAGTACGTGAGATCTTCCCTGTGTCAAACAAAGTACTGAAGATGTATAAGCCCCTAAAGACATTTCTCTGTTAGGTACTGGTCTTCACTGAGGAGTACAAAGCATACAACTTCAATCTTTGGTTTAGAAATAGGTGTGTGCCAGAATTTTAATATTATATCCATTTGCATTTTTGGAGTTTTGTAATTGGCTTTAACATGTGCAAGGCCAGCACTTGAAATTCCAGAGCTACAGCCTTTGGTTTTGTCAACATGGTTGAGACTGAAGACCACCTCAGTTATACAGCTTCTGCATCTGTGATTTATTTCTTTGTTTCCATGAACAAAATTTCCAGGAAAAAAACAGCAAAAGAATCATTTCCAGGTTGGCACACATCACTGCAGACTCTCTGAAATGCAAACACTCTGTATGTGACTTTTCTTTTTAACCAACCAAGTGTAGTGCCATATAAATGTATCATAGGTATACCAACTACATCCCTGAGGAATTTTCATGTTGCACATCCTACAGCAGTAATAGTTTAGGAAAATACAAAGCATTTTATGTGGATAAAATTCTGAAAGAACTATAAGGGTCAACATTCTTAAGAATTTAACCATCAGTTACACAAAATCAAGTATATATATATTTTATAATTATATATATTTGTGTGTGTTAGTTGAAACTTCTGATTAAAAAGATGACAACACACCACTTCTATATTTAAAATATGCATAAAATTGAAACAAAGAGATTACACACGTTGAAAATGTTTTTATAGGGCAACTAACTTAAGAGCTAACGTTTTAACAAAATTCTGGTATTTAACCTCTTTAAATGAATTTGTACTAAAATATCTTAGAAAACCTAGAATATCCTGTAGAACTGAGATTTTTCTTTTTTCCATCTGCTTCCCTTTAAGCAGATGTTGGTTTCTAAATACATATTTTTGGAAGTTTAGAAAGATGTAATTCCCCCCCCCACCAAGAATGTTTTCTTGTATTAGTCACAAACTCATATATTCTTTTTTAAAAAGAAAAAAACCAGTTATTTCTTAAAGTAACAGCAAAGCAAAACACAACTTTGTTTTTATTTAGGTAGCTATATGTAAAAACTAAGCTAGTAAAATATACTAGATAAGTGGGTTTGGAAGTGCTTTTCATTATGGTTACTGGTGCTAATTGAATATATTTAATTCAACAAATATTGAGAGCAGTATAGAACAAATGCAATATAAACTTTAAAACAAGAAGAGAAAAAATCCACAGAGCAATTCAGAACGACAGATAACTTAGCACTTGTTATATTTGTAATTTAATGGATGAGTTCATTTCCTTAATTATCCCAATATTTTGCACTGTGGTTTTGAGGAAAATACATTTTACAGGTAAAAAACAGAGAACTTTGATCTAATAAATTTAACAGCATAGCAAAGTGTCACAACTGTATTCTGTGTTGGACTAGGACTGTCCTCAATCAAAATCTATCAAATGCCATTTCCTAGAAATAAAGGGAGATTTTTCATGAAACAGTCTGAGTGGGCACTGAGCAGACACACAAGCTTCCCAGAATGTTGTTTCCACAAAAGGTCTGACTTTTAAGTGGATCCTGCAACAATTACAATTGCTTGATCTCAAGAAAGCCTCTGAGATCAAAGATACACTGTGTTAATCACTGTGGTGACTCTGGTCAGGCCACAGGTACCAAAGTGGGGCTTTATCTGAGTTCTAGATCAAGTTTTACAGAGTAGTATTTCAAACGATTTCACACAAATGGAATGAGGCGTCTCCTTTAGGATCAATAGGCTCTGCTTAGTAAGATAAAATTACTCTTATTAATTTGTTTTACTGACAGAGGTACTTTGACTGTGCCAAAGGATCCCAAACATTAGACATTCAGGATATGCATTAAGAGCATATCTTAAATCCTGTTTTTTTCTGATATACTTTCAAGTATGCCGATAGGATTTTATTTTCATTGTGAAACACAGTGGTACAATCACAGTGGGAAAGAAACTGCTCAGCTAAAGATTTCACCCACAGGAAAGGAAAATGTGACCACACTGGGTGGCTATTAATTATGTTGTGTTCAATTATCATCAGTTATTCAATGAAAAGGAAAAAAAAAGTATTTCTCCAATATATTGCAGTTCAGCAGCACATGGGAATAATGTAGACTACTGTAACAGCAATGGGAAAACACAGAGAAATATATCTAATCTGATGGGACAGACCTGCACAGAAAAACCCAGTCATACCCCAGAGAGCATAATTTTGGCTTTAGATCATCAAGTGGGAAAATGGACTAGAGTCCTTAATCTGCTCCCTGGTTTAGTTCTTTGCTTGGGAAGATGTAATACACTCTGATTGTGTATCTGTTTCTGATTCATTTGACTTTGACCAGCTGGCTCAGTGAGAAGGCAGGCAGGGCCTGGGTTCTGCCTCTTTAATTTTTCCCCCACATGGAAGATGCCCTTTCCTCATTCTGAAAACCACAGTACGGATAGTGAGCTTAGAGGAGCATGGCACATCTTTTGTATTCCAGCTCCAAGCATGGGTGTTGTAATGCCTGTTCTTGCCCCATGAGGGTATAAAGTCCTGCTGGGAAAAGGACAGTTTCTATGGACAAAAGTAGTATTCCAAGAAATAATAACACTATACATACAGCTGTAAAGGTGGGATTTTGCCGCTGAAATATCTTTTGGCAAATACAAGTAACAATGTTTCAATACTTTGCTTATAGTTCTTGGGCATGGCTATTGCCTACACTGGATGGAATCCCAAGCACTTACCACACACCTGAATATTAATGGTTTAGGGAATTAGGTGGATGCCTAAATTCCCAACTCAAGGTAAAAATTATCACTGAGGTTCTTTTAGAGGGAGATCTTGCCTGACCGATTTACATAAGAACTACTATAATGATAACTAAAGAATTAGTATACATAATGGTAACTATCTAAAAGCTGTAGCTCAGCTTTAAGCAAATCTTCCTGCACTGTCTGAAAACAGACAGGAACTTCTGTGTTACTATTCACCTTACTCTAACAGAGGTCTTGAAGAAAGTACAACGAATCTCTCTCTGGAAGAACTTACTGCTTTTCCTTGCAGAAACCAATGCATCTTTTTCAGTCTGAATACCAAGCTTTGGTGAGATAAATGGCACCTCTTTTGCTCAAGATATAGACTTAAATCAACTCCTTATGTTTGTTCAGCATCATACTCTCGATGCTGAAGGGCTTGTTTCCTCACAGCACAGCCAAGGGGAGTATTGCCATTAATTATTTTTTTTTTCCTGAGCTGACAGGTCATAGAAGACTTGTTGAAAGGCACCAAATACTGCCAACTTTAGATGGCACTGAAGTCTCTAATGAGTGATGGAAAAATATATGCGTTGTATAAAATCATATGGAAATACTTCTCAGTGTTTTGTGCAAGAGCATACTATAGCACTGGTATCTAATAACTCAGTTCACAGCTTTAAAGTGCCATAACCCTTTCTGCAGAGCTGCATTTTCTGCAGTAAATGGTCTGAATTGCTATGCTTGCACAGTGTTTGGTACACAAAACTTCATCAGCTCTCAGTTTACTCATAATATATTTCAGGCATCGACATGAAAGGGACCTTGATATTTATTGCTTTGGAAATCTGACCCCAGGTCTAGAGTACCAGAATTGTATTTAAAGCATGTAAAAAATTGGACTGTTATAAGAGAGACAGTCAGACAGATATTCTTTGGTCTAAAGCTGAAAAGAAACAGTAGGGTTTTGGTTTGATTTGTTTTGGCTTCATGATGCCAACGTCTAATTACTAGCAATTATGTTCAGTAGAAGTTTAAAATACTTTTATTCAACATAGTTGAAACATCAGACCACCAATGGAAAATATTCAGAGGTGAAGAAACAGATCCACCAACTACTACTCAGCACAGTTCTGAAGGTATTGGACTTAGGAAAATGAATATCACCTACTTTCTGGACACATTTATTTCTCATTATTACCTTTCTGGAGCAAATGTCTTTTCTGAGTGCATATTTCCACTTTTATGAGATGCCCAAGCTGTATGATTCTGAAAATGCTTTGGAAAGGATATCATGTTTCTATTTGAATATCAGCTCTTCTGAAAACACTTTGCATGTGCCAGATATATTCATCTCAAGTAAAATGATGCATCATTTTGGCTAAAGAGTTGAGCATCTTAAGGCAATACTTGAAATACTTGAAAGGCACACAAGACATTTCCCATACCTGGATATTTGCCTTACTTGCGTTAATACTTCTTATGCTGCACTTCAAACCCTCATTTTAATACTAAATTATAATTAATAAGGCAAGATATTTCTAATAAAAATCCCTAATAACAGTAGTTGAAAAGAGGGTGGTGGTTTCATCTTAATCCAGTTGGCAAAGCTCCTAAAGAGTTTAGCTATGCAGGCCACGGCCTGAACCTGTAACAGTCAACATATGTAATAAAGAGCTCCCCACACGCACGGTTTTGAGTCCTGCCCCAAATTTTCACAGGTACACCCTGTTCTGTCAGTGTTCCGTCTTTCAGAGTATGAAATTTTTTCTGCTTTATGTTTCCACCATGCCTGGAGGCACCTTGTAGATTCAGGACTTCCTACCTGTGCCAATGAACATCACATCATATTGGCCATCTTCTGCATCTACTCGATCTACCACAATTTGTGTGAACTGATAATCCACGTCTGTTTTAATCATGATTGGACGGTTGTTAATGGAGAATACTGGGTTGTACATAGCTGGATGACTTCTGGCAAATGTTATAACTTCATCAGGAAGGTCCTTGGTGGAATCAAAACCTCCGAATGTTTTACTGGGACACTGGAAATAAAAAGAAGGAAATGTTTTACATTTTATTATTTATCACTAGAAACATATTAGAAATACATTTCGTTACAATCATCCCAACTACTGCAAACTATAGTCAAATATGACAGGGAATGTAGGTGTTTTTTGACTGACAGCAAAACTTAATTCTATTACTGACAGTATCTATTTTTTATTTATTTTGTATTTAAACCAATATGGATAACAGAATGCAAATGATCCTCGTACACCATTTGTCTTACTGCTATGCAGAACAAAAGGATTTTCAGTCCACTGTGATTAGTATTAGTCTTTAACTGGCAGAAGGAAGAAATCCTGAAATATCCAAAATCATTCAGTATGAGGTAAGCAATTTCAGTATTTGGTTATGTATACAGCACAAATTTAATTAATTATGCCATCATCTTTGTTTCAAAGTGTTACCTTCAGAAGTTGATTGGAAGTATGAATTACTCTCTGAGGAACCAAATCCTTAAATCCTGGGACAATTTCCTGTTCTACTGACTTTTCAAACTCCTGCTTGTCTCAACAAGCCTGTGTCATGCATGTAGTCCAGATACACAGATCCTGTTACGCTAAATCAAATCTAATGAGTCACGTCCTAAATGTATCTGTTTTTCTCCCTACTGCTTCTAAAGAAAGCCTTCTATGAGTGTTGGTGATGATCCTGCCCATGTGAACAGTTAAGTGAGACGAGTCTCATTAAAGAACTGAAATAGCTCCTCACTGTTGTGTCCTGTGCAGTGACTGAAAAGTTGCTGTCCCCTTGGGATTAATCTGGTCCCCATGGAGCCAGATAGTAAAGAATCACTTTGCCCTCATATATAGTCCTGGGTGGGCCAGACAGTTTTGCCTCTCATCTGTGAAAAGCAGAGGATTCTACTTTTTACATTTAGCTCATGTTCTCCCAATGTAAGCAAAAAACAGAGGCTGAAAAGGGAAGGGGAGGTAAAACCATGGTGTTGGTAGCCACAAAAGTATTCCTCCACTTTCAGCTACCACATATCCCCATCAGGTGACTCAAGAACTGATCATCACCATTTGCCCTCATCTCTTCTGCAGAATCGGTAATTATTTTACAAACAATTAGAGGTTACATTAACATAAGCATTAGTAGTGTATTAGTATTGTTGAATGGGTAAAGAAAATGAGCCACAATAACACCAAGCCAAAGATACTCATCAAAAAACTTGGTGACCCCAATGCTGATCTGTTCAGATAACTATTTAAGACATATAAAACTCTGAAACCTAGCTGATAATAATTATTTTTCCAGTATTTGAACCTCAAATATAAACAACTGGTGTTAAAATGCCCTACATAATTTGCTTTTTATATCCAGGTATAAAGTATCCACCAATTAAATTAAAAACCTAGAGGACAACATCTTATTAACCAAGAATCCAGACCTTGCAGTATGCTCAGTAGAAGAAATCAATTGTCTTTGCTATCACCTTGATCCAAATTATTAATAATTCATCAGAAATGAAATTTAAAAATCAATGCTGGCAAAAGGAGTAGTTGCTATACTCAGCAAAGGGACTCTTCCAGTATGGACATATAATGTGTAAATTGTCCCTTGTTGGCATATTTGTTAGTAAGCAAATTCCTTCATTCTGTTTCATTACACGGTATGGAAGGGAGGAATGGAAGGAGGGAGAATATTTGATTAATGCATGTGGAGCACACAAAGCAGAAAGTTAGTTACCTATTTTATTGTGATTTTTTAACCTTTTTAGCTTTATTATATGCACTTGCTCTTTTGTACAAAAAAAAAATCAAATAGACTTTTCATATTTATTGGCCAAACCACTCTGTGTCTCAAAAATTGTGTTTCAAATTCTACGCTTCAATTTTAAATTTGCTTTACATCTCAATTAATATTCTAACTACAGTTCAATATTAATTATTAAGATTAATTACATAATAATTAGATAATAATTAATTAGATAATATATGTAAAGTGCTCTAAGTATAAAATTCACTACAGAAGAACTAAGTATTGTTAATTGCATCTGGGCAAACACTGAAAAAATGCTAAATGAATATTCCTTTTAATTATAAGCAAATGAATTTCAGCTGTGTTTCAATAGCTTAAATGTTTACTTTCTGACTCATTTTCCAACAAAGGATTTTACTTGCAGCAATGTGGAACAGACTCCCCAGAAAAGTGGTCATGGCACGAAGCCTGCCAGAGTTCAGGAAGCATTTGGACAATGCTCTCAGGCACATGGTGTGATTCTTGGGGCTGTTGTGTGCAATAATCCTTGTGTTTCCCTTCCAACTCAGGATATTCTATGATTCTATGGACCAAGATATATTTTGTGTGGAAAAATCATAAAACTAGAACTAGTGTCATAATTCTGTGTGTTTAACACTCTCAATTCTGAGTCCAAGGTTATTCCTTGTATCGCTCACTTTTCTAAATTACTGTAATCTTGTGTCTTTACATGTTAAGTTTGAAGTGGACTAGGCTGTGGCTCATATTCATCCCATCCTACTTTAGAAAACTGAGATGAAATCCAACTGCCACTGCTAAAAAACCCTCCCCTTTTCAATGAGTAAAATGGGCACCATCAGTAGGTGAGATGTAGACCATCCATAGTCCAAACTGCTTGCAGAGGAATCTCAACTCAGAAGCAGAATAGGACAGGATAGGATAGGATAGGATAGAACAGAACAGAACAGAATAACTGTCCTGAGAAGGAAAGCTCTGTCATGTTTTATGTGAAGAACACAAAGCCAGGAGACACAACAAAGACATTATCCTTGGTGCTAATTACAGGACCATTTTTGATATTAGTGGGTCTAGATCCAGCTAATTGCCAAGGTGATTAATCAGAACTTGTGTTTATATACCAAATCAATCCCACTGATAGCAAAGAAGTAGGTTTTCATCTGCCAAAATACAGGCCAGAATACAAATATTCTGAAACGGTTTGGAGAAATGAGGTTGATCTTGGATTCAAGCAGAGTCAAAGAACTCCTGCATTTTACATTCAATACCAGTTGTTGGTCCCCAGTAGGCAATATAGGGGATTTGATCAGTCAGGAGGGAGGAACTAGGCTATCCCCTAACTGGCCTATTAGTGAATCCGACAGAACAGAAGAAATCAGTATTTACATTCTGGTAGGAAGAAAATGTGCTTTGGTCATAACTCTTGGTGCCATGAAGCAGAAAAAAACTTTAGCTCTGTAGCCGAATTCACAGAAAGTCAGTTAAGAATTCAGGATGAGGTACCTCAGTTAAGATGAGATATATACAAAAATCCTCCCTCCTCTGCCAAATACTGTTAAAAAGTTAAAAAAAGAAAAAAAAAAGTTAAAACCCCCAAGTTCTATAGATCTTATAGGAAAAATTCTGGCAACTCCTTTGTTAAATGTGAAGCTGATGTAGAATTGTTTACAAAGTTTTCTTACTTTTCAAAAGAGTCGTTTACTTTCCTTTTCCCTTTCTCATACTGGGTGGGTCACCAGATGTTCAAGAAGTTTACTGGCACCTCACCTATTAAATTCCTGAGATAATTCAGCACTGTTTAACTGCAGTGCAATCTGGAAATGAATTACTCTAAGACGTTAAGGGTTTTTTCCCCCTTCTCTCTTTGCATTTCTTGGAAAAGGAATCCCCAGGTCTGAGATCTAAAGGAACTTCAAAAATCTTTCTTCTTTATTCTCAACAGTCTTCAAAGCCACTGAAAACACATCCAACTCTATCACTTTAAAAACAAAAACCTTCTTTACAGCCAGAAATGTATCTCATTTTAAAATCCACTTTTATCCTATTAATATAATAGAATAATTTTAGCAACTGTGAGGGGACTCATCTTTTTTCAAAGCAGCAGAACTCAGGATAAGTCACCTGCATTGGGCTAGGAGAAACTGATGGTCTCAGGCCCTCTATCATCATTTACAGTGGCATGGCCTCCTGCACTACATGATGTGACTGCAGGGCTATGTAAACTTGTAAAATTTGGGATCACATTTGCCCTTAGGCAAGAAAACAGTTTACAGTGAACATCTTTGAACTTTGAGAATCTTATTAAAAGCATTTTATAACGAAATTTTAAGGGTAACATTCATTCTAAGAGCATAGACAGAAATAAAACTATATGTAACCTAATTGCATTTCCTTACTTTCACAAAAGCTTTGGTGGCTTAGGTCACTTTGCCACTTAGGGGTTGGATTTGATTCCCTGTTTTTCTGCTTGTTCTGGGGAATTTCATCAAGTTATTCTTTTCCCATATGGATCTCAGCTCAAGACCCCAAGAGAAGTCTTGGAATAACCAGAGGTGGGCAGAACTGTGTTGCCAGTCTCATGGGCAACTATTTCAGTTGTGCATTCAAAATCTTAGTAGAGCTGCATCTGATCTCTGCAGAGGAATGAATGTAACAGAGCCTCTCTGCAGCACTCAGTCCCTTATCTCAATTTATTTCTGTGACAGAAATACGTAACCTTCTTCTTTGTCCAGTGTTCTAAATAATGCCTATTATCTCTTTTTGTTTAGAAAGGTTAATGGATACTGGAAACGAAGAGGAATCTAAATAAACAGGATAATGAACACTAAGTCTGTCAGACTGAAAAGTAAGTGACAATAGTTATACAAGAAATAACAAAAATATCTACTCATTCACATTTTCCCCAGAGATGTAAAGCAATACAGCTTCAAAAAATCTAGCCTTCTGACATATCAGAATTAACTGTAGTTATTAGGAAAAAAAAGGCACCGTCAAATGAGAAATGAAATCTCTTCTATGCTGCAGAGCTTGTGTTTTAACCCTGGAAAAAATTAGAAATTCCTTTAGCAGTTGCAGCGAAGGAGTGAGGAGTGCTGTGGAATCGGGCTGTCAGGGAGCCACTGTTTTCTTTTACTTAGGAAGTAATTTTCATTAGGCTGAGCATATATATCAGTTGAAAGATCAGGTTTGAAAGGGCAATTTCAAACATACGAGATAAAAATAGAAAATACGATGAATTAAAGAAGCGAAGTTATTCCTGCTTTTTTTTGTGCCTTATATTTAAGAAGGTTTTTAAAACAATATTATGGACATATATATTATTTACACATATATGTTTTTATGTATACGTGCGTACGTATATATTTAATCATCTGTAATGATAGTTCAGAACATAAATGGGCCAAGCTGATTTACACAAGCTAAGGAGCGACCCCAGGCATACAATTAAAACTTGTTTCATAAATGTCCCATCTTCTTAGACTACGGGAAATTTCAAAGGCAGTTAAAGATTTCTAGAATGTGATGATACCAGTTTCAAGTTGTCAATATGGATGTCTTACATAGACTGAATTTTAGTCATTCATAAACCAAAAACAGAAAACCAGGTAGAAGCAAACATTTTTAAAAATGCCAGTGGAAGATAGAAACTATTCTAGTCGCCGTATCATCCACTGCAGAGATATCTGTTTCACTGTTCTAGATCTAATGATGATTGAAAATTTCTTAACAGCCAGACAGATGCTCTGTTTTCCATTCGTTCTCACTAAGAATGACTCAGCCAATATTTGGGAAAAAAACCAATTCCAAGGAAAGGATAATGCAGCATAATTGATTAAAATACTTGACTTCAGTCGAATTCTCCAGCCATTGCTCAAACTTCTTCTGAAGTTGTTAATACGAATGCCAAAATTAAAATCCAAGTGACGTTGTTATTGCAGTTTCATATGCTACAAGAAAATCAGTATATTTTGGACCTGGAGGAACTGTTAGTTTTCCCTTCTGCCACCCTCTCCATTTTGTTATCTGTTTCAGTTTTTTTCCTGGATCTCAGCTCAAGGACCATGTAACGTGTGAAAATATTTTACATAGTTTTCCCAGCTTTGATTACTGCGTTTTTTAGGGTACTTACAGTTCCTGGCCGTGGATATGGCACTCGCCCTTGGTAGGGAACCCACTGGTAGTTTGGGCCATCTCGGTGGGCATAGGGACCAAGAAATACCCTCCTCACATCAGTCATGCTGTACATACACACTGCTGATCCCTTGAAGATATTACTAAAAATGAGGGGAGAAAAAATCAAATCAGGTTCTTTAAATTATCAGTCAGTTTAATCAAGTGGTAGAGCTGTGGGAATAGCAGCTTGGTGCTTTCTAATTTATTGCATGTGTTGATTATCAAAACCCTGACATGCTCTCAGAGCAATCCTCATTCACCTCCTGTGAAAGTTCAGCATAACTGATACGATCTCCCAGACATTTTCCTAAGCAGATGGCTGCTACTCCACTATTTAAAATATACTGTCCCCAGAAGGCCAAAGCCCAAACTTGAGTAAACTTCAGTAGGGCTGTCTCTAGAGAACTATTCAATCCTGTCCTACACTGCATGTTTTTCTATTTTTTTTAGCAGCCTTTTCCACCACTTGGGCAGCACACATGCAAACTTCAGTGCTGTTTCTTACCTTGAGACTTCTTACAGAAGACAGTAAGGACTTGTAAATTTCCCTCTTCTATTCCTGGTATCACTAGAAACATTCTTTCTGTTTAGAAACTAAAACTTGTTTCCTTCACAGATAGATGTGGCAGTACAATCAGTACTGCAAACCTTCCTCAGGCTACAAGTATATTTTTTCTTGGTGAAAGCACAGTGAAACAAAAAACATTCATGTCACAGTTATATGTGATTCAACAACAGAACTTTTGAAAGATCGTTAAGATTTCCAGATTTCAGCAATATTTTTTACTAATATATCCTTGAGTAGTCAATTTCTCACACCACAGATTTTCTATTTTACACTGCCCCCAAACAAGTTTATTTTTGCTTGTGTTCTTTTTCCAAATCTGTGTGGAAAGGGCTACAAATGCTGACCGCCACTACAAAGAGCCAATTCAACAGCAAGAACAGCCTGAGAAACTGACAGTCTTTGTGTTTGCCAGCTTTGGAGTGATGATATACATTGCTCATAAGAAAGAGACCTAATTCATTATTTCTTTCTGCCACTGACTTCTCAGTTCAAAGGTTAAGAAAATTTTGTGTTTCTTGAAAACATTTTTAACAAAGAGACCTCTTTAAAACAAGCAGCCACACACGTTTCCATGCAAGTAAAATGATATGCTCTATACCTGGAAGTTGTAAACACCCCATAGACTATTGGATTTTTAGGGTCTTTTGAGTTCATTAGGAACACATCCTCTGTAAAAATATCAAGAGAGAGAAAAGAAAATTAGGTTACATTCATACAGATAATATCTGAAAACATTTCTATATTCAAAGCCATCTCTGCTACTTACGCAGTTCATCAAAGTGTGTGTCAATGCCATTGGGTCCTGGCACAGAACAAATCAGACGTGCTTTGAGGAAAGTTGTCCATTTGTTAACAAGGCTCCTGTGTCCACCAAAGTCATTCTAATAACGAAAGTATTTTGCATTAATATATAGCAACAGTCCTCGTCTGAAGTATCAACAGAGTACAGAGAAAACAGAGTAAATAAGATGCTATTTAGAGAAAACAAGAGAGAAGAATTCACAAAAGCATTATAATGTTGCAAAGACCCAAACTATGAATTACTTTTATTTAACATTGTATAGTGACATATTTCATAGTAGTACACAATTTAAAACCCAAAAAACCCCAAAACTCTTTATATATTGTAATATATATACATATATATATATATACATAACACTGGAAAAAGACAAACAGACAGAATATTTTGCTTCAGAGTTCCCAGTCTGCCCTGTCCTGGAAAAGCTGAGGGGGTTTATTATGCTTAACTGGGTAGCAAAAAAGTAGAAATGCAAGTTGCAATGGAACAAAGTAGATAAAAATGCCAGAACAGTGGGATCAGTTGTACAGCTGCAAAATGTAGGAATAAAGGGCCCCAAGGACTTCATACTTAAGGGGTAATTGGTTTTAAAGCAGCTACTTCTGAATTTGAGGAGCTAAACTGAAATTGTGCTTACGGATTAACATGAATTTTTACTGAAATTATCATAGTTGTCAAAGCTACAACATTTTTTAATATCATTTCATTTGTAGAAATATTTTTAAAAGTCTGTCAGAAAACAATTTGGACATTTATCACTGTGGATTCTGCAGTCACTAAGGGTCTTTGGAATGGTTGCCCATTTCTGGAGCTAACCTTAAACAACTGTTTTAAAGATTTTCACTAATGTGGGAATGGAAAATTATTAACATTTAAAAAGCAAATTCTTTAAATGTTTTTGGCCCACCTGGAAGTATCACATTTCCTGTAAAAGACTCTCTTTTGCAGACACATTCTAAGCCTCAGAAGATGCCTACGACTTTTAAAACAAAACATCATAGTTTGTGATGTTTCCCCCCAAAAAGAAGAACCAAACAGTATTCCTTTTGATGTGCTATTTCCTAACTATATTTCACTTGGGATGATCCCTGCTTTAGTACAATGCCAATGTTAATACTGCATGGTTCACAGGCTAGAAAATGCAATTTCTAAAACTGCCTGCAAAGCATGCTGCAAGTGCATTCACTCCCACACGAAGGACTCATCATCCTACCTTGCAGATCTGCCCTATTCTGGCATGAGTGGCTTTTCCAGTGTGCTCTCCATCAATTGCATTTTCACGGAAGAAGAAATAGATTTTGTCATCTTCTGGATTGTCGCTCTCTGGTATCAGGTGAGCACTGATAAATCTGGGATCTGAGAAGACAACGCCGTTGTCCATGTTACTACTCCATGAACTGAATCATTTCTCTTCCTTATATCAATGAACTGTCATTTTGCTTCCCAGGAATCAATTATAGCATCACATGGCAAATATTTCTATGTTTACATTCCTCTTGTCTTTAATACAGAGAGGTACTTGCTACAGATATCTAATAACCAGATGTTAATTTTATTATTAGAGCAATTAAACATCCATGAAATTTCTTTACAAGTGGTTGTATACCATTACAACATGGCTTCATAATTCCATGTATTTATTACTGATATTTTTCTTGTTTCTTTGTATGTTTATACTTAGGTTAATAACCCTTTTGTATATGTTGCAAGTAAAATGAAAGAATTATTGAGACAAATGTAATATTCCTCATTTTAGCAATAAAAATGAATAGATAAATTATCTTACATCTAAAAAGGCACTAATTCATTACTCTCAAAAAGCTAAGTTAAAAAATAAATTTTCATTGATATTGTCTACTTCCACATGATACCACTAATCCCCAAATTTTTGTCTTCTTCTCAGAAGAGAAATGTATTTTTGAATTTTTATTCAGATTGTTGAAATACTTTGTCTTGTCATTTTTGTAAAGTTTGAGGGTTTTTTTATAAATATGTCTTATTTCTTGACAATTAGACTGACAACATTATTTGGTGGTAAAAAAGATACAGGAACAAATGAAAATACATAAAATGCGGACATACTGATGGGTTACATAAAAAATGTTGTAAACAAGTTTTGGGAGAGAGCATTTTATAGAATTCCTATCAGTAAATTCATACCAGTGGTGAATCTGGCTCATCGTTGTATTTTACAGAGATACTTCAGCTGGTATCTTTCACTATATTTGGAAAAAGAAGGCATATCCAACAGATTTACCAATCTGTTTTATAACCACTCTACATCCTGCTGGGATAATTAACTGTGAACTATATTTAACTACTCAGAGTCCTGTTCCTATGTGAAATTATAAGCTATTTTAGTGTCATGTATTAACATCTTTTCAGTGTATGTTTACTGCTATACAGTCATGGAAATAATGAACTTTGCTTTGTTTTGCCAGTTTGCACTGGCTGCCCTGTGGAACCCCGTGCTTTATTAAGGATGGCAGTATTTTTAAGCAACATATTTTGATATATTTACACATATGCACATACAACTTTAGATGTTTCTATTATATGAGTACATATTGCATAATTTTGCGTGTGTATGTATATATTCACATATATTCTCTGTGTGTGCATATATATGAGTACAGAAAGATGAGCATACTGGTTTACATCAAAGTTTACTTAGATCAATATATAATCTCCAACATTTTCCAGAAGTAATTATGCAAGACAAAGAAAGAATACGGTGTGTACAAATAACACTATCCAAAAATAAAGTACCTTCTTCCAATTATTTTCAGTGTAGCTGATTCCTTGAGTTCATTGCTTTCTACATGCTTAGTAACTCTCAACAAAGTTTTCATCCAGTTATCTGTGTAGATTCTTCTTTAACCCACACAAATTTACAGAATTCAGAGTGTCCTTCTGGAATTTGTTCCTCACCTACACAATGTAATGAACTAAAATTTGGTACTGATTTTGTGTTTTGAACATTGACCTTAATATCTTCATTTGGTTCCTCTCAAATCTGGTATTGGAAATAACCCCAGATGTTCGAGATGTAAATGAACTCTTACACAAGGGCTGTAGCAGTGGTGTTTGTTGAGGTTTTTTTCTATTAATTCCTAATATTTAATATAGATTTGACAGTTCCTAAGCAGCAATCTGAAATTGTCATGGAACTTTATGAGCCATAACCCCAGAGTGTGGTGATGCTCTCTGCCCACAGACCATTCTTTTCTATGTGAAGCTAGGCATGTTTTCTTCATGGTTTACCACTGCACCATTCATCAAGAATAATTTAACTTGTCACTTATTGCTTAGCTATCCAGTTGCATAATATCCTTTTGTAATTCTTCACAGTCTTCCTTTGTCTTACTATGCTGGATAATTTAGGATCGTGTGAAAAAAAAAAATTCTCGTCCTGCTACTCAACCTCTTTTTCAGGTTATTTGTGAAGATGTTGAACACAGGCCACAGAACAGATCTCAGTGGAACTGTGTCTACTACCTATTGTCTGTTAAAATAAATATTTTTAGACATCTGAAAACCTGAAAAATCTGTAAGCAGCTTAATCTTTCCACCTCAAACCCCAGAAATGCAAGCTATTATATGTGCTTCTTTCCTTTCTAGCATGCATTTAAGAGCCTTAAAGTTACACTGACACGAGACCCAAGATTAATAATATCTAGACTATATTGTACCACGGTAAATATCTATACTAGGGCTTTGCACGTGACTTATATCTCAAGAAACAAGGGCTACAGCTTGAAAATTTCTGCACTGCAGCCTGTGAAGGATCCATCAGAGAAAGAGGATACTCATTAGTAGACGCTGTTCTGGGCTACTGGATCTGGTGAACCTCGTCTGAATATGCTGTTTTGACATTCTTAAGGTCTTATAGAAAAATGGCAAAATCACATTCGACCAAAACCTAATTACATTCCCAAATGGTTGAATGATTTGTTTCTAGCACAATGCGTTTTGTAAATCACAAGACAAGAAGTTCTAAAATAAATCATTATAATATCACGCATCAAAAATCTAACTTTACACTGGCCTATGAAGATACTGTGGGGAGTCCCATTTGAGTCAAAAATATTGCTGATGTAGCACAGGCTATATAAACTTGTCCTCAGTTAGCATATTATTATTCTTTTCTTTCCCTCTCATAGTTTTGCAAGTGAACCTAGAAACAGTAAGACAGTTTAGCATTAAAGCAGGGCTGATACAAGAATGATAGAAAAATAGTTGAATAAACTGAAAATATGTATTTCAAATGGTCCTGTCAGATGGGTAGCAGAGGAGAGGACTGTGAGGAAGGCAGATAAAATTAATGCCATAGCGTGAGCACACGGGGGTATGCTTTGTATACACCTACCTGTGCTCATCTGAGAATTCAGATTTTCACTTAGTGATTAATAATCCTAGCTACATTCCTGAAAATAAAGTGGTCACACAGCCTCACATTGGAATGCACCCACTGTACATCATGGAATAGTTTTTCTTGAACAACACTGATGCTTCTTACTGCACATACTTTGGATTGTTTTTTCCATCTAGTTAAATCGATACGTTTTAGTCAATAAAAGAGTGGTTCTTGATGTAATAAGGCCCTTGCTCTTGCTACCTGGTGGTGTTTAGTTTTTTTTCCCTCTTCCATCTAACAGATTTATGTCTATGCAGTGAAATAACTAAAGGAAGAACAGGCTACATACATTCTGTTGCACATAGAAATAGATTAATTTCTGTTCAGAATGGATGTAATGGTCACAAAAGCAACACCATGATACATCAGCAACATCATGTGTGGAGAGAGGGAAAGAAATGTGGTTCATGATTTCATAGGTTATAAAGCTAAGAAGTGGGTGGTGTGAACTACTGATCTGTAGTGTGTTCTTTATTGTTTCATTAGTGGAGGAGCTGTTTGACTTGCCTGAGGCTTGATGCACACTTGCATTTAACTCCAGGGCTGCAGACCATGCTTACTACTGACTGTTTAGGGTCCTGATGAATCAATCTGCCAGATGGCCAGAAGTCACGCAACACAGCCCTCCCTATGGACTGCATTTTTTTATTGCTCTTCTTTGAGCATTGGAAAGGAGATATCCACAGATGAGGGAATTAGGGACTTTTTCTTGACTCTCCTAATTGCTCACCCAGGCAGCAGAAGAAAGAATGTCATCCATGAATGTGTATGTTCAAGTACTGAGACTGCCCTGCCTTACTCTGCAAAATTAAACAGGTTCAGTATCAAGGGGTCCCCATGGGAAGTTTAAAATAATACAGTCAGGGTTGACCTATTTCATACCTTCAACACAGCCCCCCAAAGAAATGCTGGAGTGAACTTCAAGAAAGTTTTACTGAATGGGAAGTGGGACTTTGACCCAAAATCACCAGTAACAGTTGCAAGTCAGTGCACTGCAGCTATCGTGGATAGATGGGATGACTTCAAAATTCTGTGTATGAATTATCAAGCATTCTGCAACCCCAAAAATGTCTCCAATTCGTGCAGCCCTGAAAAATGGTGTTACAGTAGTTCAACACTTTCTTGTTTGAAAACAATCTCATTGGCTAAAAGTCCAGAAAGCTTGTTTTGAGAAAATGGATTTAAGAAATAATTTGACGGCAAATATTTTGCAATGATTCATTGCTTTTAAAAAACAAGCAGACAACGTGGAAGAGTGCTTTAGAAAACAGCATACATCAAACAAACATTTCTGAAACATGTTTAAGCATGATCAAAGGAGAAACAAAGCCACAGCATAAACATGATCAAAATAAAATTACAGCTAAAAACACTCCTCTGATCTCGCAGCCAACATGAACAAGCTAAAAATAAAAACTTAGATTTTTATTTAAAACAATCAGCTTCAAGAAGCAAATTATTAAAAAGCCCACACCTTTTCAGTCTCCTTTTTCCAGTTGTCTTGGCTGTGGGGTTATTTCTCAGATCCCACATGACACCTTTGAACACCACTTTGTGTGCCCTCCTGCAATTACCAGCTCTGCAGACGTTTCACTGGCAGCAGCCCATTAAACTGTCCTTCGTGAGAAATCTGGCTCTTTATGAAAACGACACCTTGGTCCAGCTGCCTCTATGATTTATATGCCATTGTTTGCTTAGTTAAGTAATGGAAACATGTTTTGCTTGTCTCAGCATTTCAGGTGGAGAAAAAGCTAAGGAAAATCGATCTGCATTGGTTCTTTTACAAATGTTACTCTTTAGCAGCAACAGCCTCACAAATACATACAACACCCCAAGAGCAAGGAACCATAAAAGTCAGAAATTGGCTTTCTAACCGAATTGTATTAGCATTTTAATGAAGATCTATAAACTTGAAGGCACAGAAATTACCTTTAGCTGT